TTATTATTATAAATTAATTTATATAAAAAGATAGGATAAAATAATATAAAATGAATATTGTTAAATTATTAAATTAACAAAAAAATGTAATAAGATAAGTAATAACAAATAAAATGTAATGAAGCATATTAAATTCAATATTACATCAATAGTATAATATTACATCAATATTTTTTTAAAACAAATTAACAAGAAATCGTTTTTATTATTTGTCTCCTTTATAATAAATCATATTAATGTTATATTATTTACTTTACTATCGCTTTTCATCAGTATATATTACTTTCGCATTTTTCATAAATATTTTTTTTAATGAAATTATAATATTTTTAAATATAAATATTATGTTAGAAATATTTCAAACAATATATTAAATATTTAATTGTTACAAGAATGTTTTTTTTTCTAAAACATAAATATAAATAATATTAAATAAAAGTAAATATATTAAATATTAAAAAAAAATTTTAAGTATTAAATTAAATCTTTTTTATTTCAATTGGCCATTAATAAAATGTTACATGTTATATATATTTGTTATAATATTTATTTATATCATTCATGTGATAATAAATAAATATTTCATTATCAAATACATAATTTATTAAAATAAATATTATAAGTTCATATAAATAGATAATAGATTATGGAATTATTTTTTTCAATTATTTTTTTATACGAATAAATATGAAATATAATTGAAATATAATAATTTTAATTTTAATATTTCATACTTTTTTATTATATTCGAAATATAAATAATATTTTTTTTATAATTCTCTATTTAAATAATAAAATAAAAATATATATTTAAAAAATATTTTTTATTTATAATGAATTGCAAATATAATTGAATTGTAATTTTATACAAAAACATTTCAAAATTACGATCAATAAATTCTTGCTCTAATTTTCATTATGCAGTTATTAAAATGTAATTTTTTTTTATAAGAAGCACAGAATTTATTCTTAATTTAATTTTGAAATACGTTTAATAATAATAAGAAAAAATGTGAGTATATATATATATATATATATATATATATATATATATA